CAAATACCACGAGATGACGCACACCGGAGAGAAGCCCTTCGAGTGCGAGGAATGCGGCAAGCGCTTCACTCAGCCCGCAGCTCTACGCACCCATCGCAAGATCCATGAGCGACAGCGCTCGGACTCTGGCACCATAACGTATACGCTCTTGCTGACAGCGCCAAGTGACACAAATGCCGCTGGCGTGGAGCAGGCGAATGAATGCAGTTAATATTAGATCTCTTATATATTAGAAGTGTTTATCTATATATAGATGAGTGTGTGTTTATCGAGTCACTTAAAGACGTCAAGTAAAGATTGCGGACTTTGTTTAGACAGCCCAATCAGTTGTTTGCTGCTAAAAATACAATCGAATTTTGCTAATCTCTATAAAGGGTATCAGCAAACGCAGCCTTTACTGTCGATCTATCTATAGTCATTTTAATCAATGCCAAATTCCAAAGTTCCTTGGTACAGTAATCCCATGGAACGGAAAATATTGTATACAATTAAATTTATAATTATACAGTAGTTATTTATCTAAAAATATATTTCTATAAATGTCTAAAATTTATTGATGTATACTGGAATTCGTCACTCTACTATATTCGCTATAATATAGAATACCCCATATCTTGATGTCTATCGATTTTCTAATTGAAATGGCCTTCGCTGCATGCCGAATGACGACTTTAGTTTAGATTGTATAGCTGCGTCACTATATAGTATATGTGTTTCATCAACGTCTACACGAATAAATTGAACTTTGTTCATCTCAGCTCTATCAATGGGTTATACAAATTCAAAAGTGTATTTGTTATTTACTTAAATCTTTATTTTGAAAGAATATGAGGACAAATAAAATTCGCTAATGAATGGATTAGATACATGGATTAGGTGTTCGCTAATTACGTTTGATCGCAATTCAATTCAGATCGATGACGCCAGTTGAGTGGACGCCATCCTGTTCGCAGATTTTTTTCGCTATTGTAGATAACAATTTGTTCTCGCTTTGGAGCTGGGGTGAGGTCGCTTTCCTCAGATGCTGGAAGACTCGTTCGGTAGCCTGGTTGGCCAGCGCTTTGGTTAGGTTGAGTTCGTGCTCCGCTGTGGGCAGATTAAGTTTCGCAGCTCGTGTGGATCGGGAGAGGGTTGCTATCATGGCATAGATGTCGATGGCGGAATTGGCCAGGTGATTCAATACGATCTGTTCGTTGATGATGTTCTTGTTGTACTTCATCAGCACCTCCTCGGTGGTGCGGCCAAAGAGATCGATGCAAGAGGCCGCCTTCTTGGCCGACTCCTGCAGCTCGGGCACAACGAAGGCGCTCAGATCGACGCCGCCCAAGCCAATTCTTGATGTTGCACGCCTCGATGCCTCCTTGAAGATGAAGCCCAGGTTCGCCGAGGGATTCTTTAAAGCGCGTTGCAGCTCCTTCAAATGGTTGCCAGCGTACTGGACGCCAGAGAGCGCGACGAACAGGCGAAGCACCTCGTTGGTGCCCTCGAATATGCGGAAGATGCGCAGATCTCGCATGATGCGCTCCAAGCCGGTCTCCTTCATGAATCCCATGCCGCCCAGAATTTGGATGGCCTCGTCAGCAACGTACCAGGCGCATTCAGAGGCGTACACCTTCGATATGGCCGTCTCCAAATGATAATCCTGGCTGCCCGAGTCCATGTTTTGGGATATCATGAACGCCATCGATTCCGTCGCATATTGCAGTATATTCATGTTGACCAACTTCTCCTGGATGGTTCCGAATTCCTTGATCTTTTGGCCGAATTGCGTGCGATTGTTGGCATGCGCCGTCGCGATCTCGATGCACTTCTTCATCGTTCCGGACAAGGTGGCGCCCATGCCAAAGCGTCCACTGTTCAGAATGTTAACAGCCACCTTGAAGCCTTCGCCTTCCTTGCCGAGCACGTTTTCGATGGGAATCTTGACATCCTCGAAGTACACTTCGGCTGTGTTCGAGGCCTTGATGCCCATCTTCTTTTCGGGTGCACCGTTTGTAACACCACCGAAGGAACGCTCCACAATGAACGCCGTCACTTTGTCCTTCTTCTCGCCAGTCTTTTGGTCGATTTGCTCGGTTTGGGCGAACACAGTCATCACATCAGCCAGGCCACCATTGGAAATCCAGATCTTGGAGCCATTCAGAATATAGTATTTGTTGTCTGCAGTCTTCACTGCCCGGCTGCGAATGGAATTGGCATCCGAGCCGGAGCTAGGCTCGGTGAGAGCAAAGGCAGCATAAACCTGCTCGGACGCCACCTTAGGCAAGTACTTCGCCTTCTGCTCTGGCGTGCCGTACAGCAGGATGCCCTTGAAGCCAATGCTCTGGTGGGCGCCCAGTGTGATGCCCAGGCCTAGATCATTTGCTCCCACTATCTGGCACAGGCGCGCATACTGGGTGTTGTTCATGCCCAGACCTCCGTACTCGCTGGGCACCTGAATGGCCATGCCACCGAGCTCCCAGAGGGCGTCCAGTGTTTTATCATCGATGACGGAATTTTCATCGTTGCGCGCAGCATTGTTGACATCGGAGAAGAACCTTTGGAACGGATCCAACATGCTGTCCGTGGTCTCCTTTTGTTCCAATGTCAAGACATCAGGGTAGGGGAAAACTTGTTTCGAGACCAAATTGCCACGAAAGATGTTGGCCATGAACGATTCATTTTCTTTTTTTGGCTCTTTTCTCGTTTCACTTTCGGGTTTCCGTTTGGGCACCGCCGCAGAGTAAAAACGAGTTTTAGAAATATCTAAAATTAATTTGCGCGTTCCGTAGCTATTTAGTTTCAACATTTTAGCAAGACTCGACTGAACTTTGTACCTAAACGTAAACAATGAATGGGGGGTGACCTGTTACATTCAACAGGTATTTTAAAGTACTGTTAAGTATTTGTTGGTCACTGTTACCCTTAACAGTGAGTTATCGATAGTCGGCACTCGATAGTTGTTGACCAGCGCGTTACCAAACATACTGTAAAGTTTAGAGTGTAAACACACGAAGCAAACAAATAAACGAAGTTTAGTTATTTATTTAAATGTAATCAATTAATCAACATCAACTCGATGACTTCTACCATCAAATGCCGTATCTGTATTTGCGCCATTGATGCAACTGTTGGCAGCTACGATATGCAGAAACTGCCTCTCGTGGCGCACAAGTTTGTTACCTGCACCGATCTCGCTGTAGATGTGCACGAGCGAGTGTCCAGTGTGCTGTGCCCGGCGTGCTTCCACCAGCTGGACCAGCTCTATGCATTCCGTGCCAAGTGCATAGCAGCTGACACGAAATGGCGAATGCAAATACTGGCATTCTGCGACGATGAGGAGCCTACATACGACTTGGAGGCGACGCCCGCAACAGTGGAAGTTGTGGAACTGAAGCTGAAGCAGAGAAACGAAAGGAAGGTTGAAAAACAGGTGGAAAGCAGATGTGAAACGACTGCAACAGATATCGATTCGGATCATTGCCATACATATGAACAGCTTGAACAGCTCGACGAGGATGTGGACGATGTTACAGTGAGAAGTCAACGAAGTTCCTAATAATATTTGAATGATCTATCAGAGGCATTGCACTTTTTTAGAGTAACTCACCGCAGCCACCCAAAGAGGTCTTCAAATGCAACATCTGCGCAGCACAATTCCTAAATGAGAAGCGCCTGCAATCGCACAGCCGGCGTCATGGACAGATGCCCTATCCCTGCACCGAACCAGGCTGTGGCCATGGCTATAGCCACAAGCATACGCTATCTCTGCACATGCGCAAGTGCCACAAGCTGGGGAAGGAGCACAAGTCACATGTGTGCGAGTTCTGTGGCAAAGTCTTTGGCACCATGGCGCTGCTCAAGAACCATCGCTTCACCCACAAGGACAAGCTGCAGCAGCCTTTCGCCTGCGAAGAGTCCAGCTGTGAGCGACGTTTCGCCACCAAGCAGCTGCTCAAGATACACATGATGCGCCATGCGGGCATCAAGAACTACACTTGCTCATATTGTGGCGTGCAGAAGACGACGCGCACCGAGCTCAAGATCCACCTGAACTATCACACGCTGGAGCGCACCTATTGCTGTCGACTCTGCTCCAAAGTGTGCTACAGCTCCAGCAATCTGAACAAGCATATGCGTACCGTACACGAGCGAGCGCGGAACTATACCTGCCGCTACTGTGAGCACGCATTCGCTCAGCCTGAGACGCGCAATCAGCACGAGCTTATCCACACGGGCGAGAAGCCACACGGGTGTCCAGAATGTGGCAGACACTTTAGACAAAAGGCAGCGCTGCGTGCTCATCTCAAAATACACACGCGACAGCCCAAGCAGACAGATTCGACAATTGAAATCGAAACGCTCGTGGAGATTGAAGATGCTAGCGCTTTGCTGCAAGGCGAAGATCTAGAGTATGATTGAGGGAGAATTAATGAAACAATTTAGGGGTATTCGAAGATTTCACATAGAGAGTGATGTAAAAAAAACAAAAGAAGGCATCTAATAAGAGAAGATCTCGCAGAGCCAGAGAGAGAGCTTATTAAAGACTTGTGAAATAAAACACAGTTGCGTATTTTGGGATTCAGAATGTAAATAGCAATAGTTTTTTATTATATATATATATGGTTTTTTTTTTCAACTAAAACAATAATGTACAAAAATTAAATTACTACTAAAATCTAAAATACATACTCGTATGTCTACTAATTTTATATGCTTGGAAAATCGCCTGTGTATACATGTATGCAAAATGCAGTTATTTATATTGAGTTAATGCTGTAGTATGTAAATGATATGATGTGCTACGTGGAGTTGTTGTTAGAGATAGCTGAGAGCCCAGTTAAACGGATATATATATTATATATATGTGTGTGTATGTTTCATGCAGTATAAATAATTCTTGTGTGTGTTTCGTAAATAGTCGTAAATACTTTTATTTTCTTATTTTTCTTGCATTAAAATCGTTGTAAATATGTTTTTCCTTTGCTTCGTTTATAGATATTGTATATATAGTATATTTCCTGTAAGCATAAATTCATTTCACTGTAAATATGTGTGTGTGTATGTGAGCGTGTATATATGATAATATGATTTTGGGTACATTGTTGGGTTGTTTTCGCTTAGACTTAGACTGAAATGCGTTTCTCTCGCCTATTCCAAAAAAATGCTCATTGTTCGCTTTCCGGTTTTCCTGTTTTCCGTTTTTCCTTTCTCTTGCCATTTCTGTTTTACATTTTTAGAAAATGCTAAAGTACATAGAACATAAGAATATAGCATATTTAGGCTAAATATCACCCACGATTTAATCGCTGTTTAACACTATATATATATATAGATATATATATGTGTGTATATATATATAGATATATTAAAACTAGATTTATAATACATGCTTGTATGTAAATCTGTCGTCCTATATTACAATTCAGACATAAACAAAAGACACAAATCGAGACTACACCAACTCTAAGCTAGCATATGCTATAAATATAAATATTTATATATCCATACAGCTATTTGTATACTATTTATGTATATATATATATATATATATATATATATATATATATGTATATATAGATTGTGTTTAACGTAATTCATTAACATGTTAAGCTCGCATTTCTTAATCTCTCTCTCTACTTTTTTAAAGTCACATATCTCGTATATAAATTACAAATTAATTGCTTCTCCTCCTGCAGCTCCTGCTTCAGCTGCTCAGACATAGTCCGAGGGCACGGTGCTGGTGCTCGTCTCATTGATGGCTGCCAGGCGTGGCATGCGTCGTTGCGTCATGGCAGCATCGTTCGGCGCCAGCCCAGTGGTGGTGGCCACGCCTCCAACGCCATTGCCACCGCCAGCGCCGCCGCCGCCGCCGTGGTGCTCCCAATTGGGCAACGGCTGCGACATGACATTTAGGCCAACAATCTCATAGGCGCCCTGATTGCTGCCACTGGCGCCGCCCGGCATGGCGGTGACGGACAGATCCGAGTAGTAGGCACTGCTCGGCGCTGACGAGACGACCATGGGAATGTCTTGCTCGTGTGCCTGGAAATTGTATTTCTGTGGACGAGAGGGATATAAAAGCAGTGAGCTGGAACTGAGGCTGATATTTTTAGGCTTCTTGCACTTACCTCGCCACACTGACTGTACGCCGTATTCTGATACGACGGATTTGCCGAACGCACCGATTCGCGATCGAGTTCCGCATAGAGTGCTTCGCTGACGCCCACCGGACTATATGCATCGTCCATGTGGGTATAATGATTCTCGGCCGGAGATGTCGATGGCGGCCCAATCTGATCCGGGCCCGCCGACGATCGTCGACTGCCGCCCAGCCAGGTCCAGACGCCCGAGTTGCTTGTGGGCCGGCGTATGCTGTCCGCCGAATGCTTTATGGAGATCGGCGAACGATTCTGGCCGCCGCCGTTGCGATTGTTACGACACCACCACGGCTGTGGTCGACCACCTGTAAGAGTAGCACAAGCATATGTGGTGTGAGTAAGTTGCTTTGGTATTTTGAACATTTGGTGTTGGCTTTAAGCTAAATTGGAATTGGAATCGGATTGGGATTCGAATTCGAATTCGGATTCAGATTCGCGGCAGCGATCTATGACATTTGGTTCTATAATCGGGCGATAAATCAAACATTCACCTCACATCGAACGCGACAGAGCAGCAAGCAGCAAACAGTAAACAGTTAACAGCGAACAACAAAACAGAGAAACAAACAAAGCGTAAATTAAACGGCTGTCAACCGGCAGCGAGGTGGCACAGTTGCAGGCGAGTGTGTGGCAATGAGTAACGGGCGACTTGGCCAAAATGCCAAACATGTAAAGAAAGAAAGAAACAGAGAAACAAACAGAGTTTGGCGCAGACTGTGAGATCCTTTTGTAATCAGCTAGCGGGATCACAGTCCTTGGCATATATCATAATTGTAGAGAGACAGAGTTCAATGACCCCACATCCCACATCCACATCCACACACATATAGGAAATCTATAAAATGGGTATTCATTAGAGTTGTTTTTCATTTATGGTGTGCTTATCCGCTAACAGCATCTTTATAGACTCCTTTAGCCTTGTTACAGTAATTTCATTTCATTTCATAACCACAGCAAGACCAGTTCCCAGCATCCGCTGTGCCCACTGACCACAGCTCATCCAGCTCATCCACTTTGCCTAGCCGTTAATGAGTGCGGGCCTCGGGCTTCGGGCCGCGGGCCTCGGGCCTCGGGCCTTACCTTTCACTCTCATTGCGCTCAAGCCTGGGTGATTGGGTGCTTAGGTGGTGCTTGGCTGCTTGGAGCGATCCAACTAATTAGCGGAATGCATACGCAACCACTTGCCACAGCCGATGGCAATTTTCCAAGCTATGCACATGCATAATGCAGCCATTTCGGTTGCTGTTTTAATGCTTATGATTTACGTACTGAAAGACTGCGTTTGTCCAGCTCTAGCTAGATATATTTACTTTTTATATACTATACTATACTTATATATGTATGTATATGCATATATATGTCCACTCTGTGTCTCTGTTTGCTCTGGCGATTATTAACCCAAGCTTATCGTTCGTAGGTGCTCATATACATGCATTTTGTGCATGTCACAAACGCCAAAGACTTTGCAACTCGACTCCCAGCTGCTGCAACTACAACTGCAACTGCGACTGCGACTGCGGCTCGGACTTGCACTTCGATTCGGATGCGGACTTGGCGGCTAGTTGGCTTTAATAGCTGTTTCTTATGTTTTTTTTTTGTTTTTTTTTTGTTTCCTTCTATTTCTACTGTGTTAACGATGTTGCCTGTTTGCTACTGCAGCAATTGCATTGAACTACGCTTATTGCTGACACAGTGCACAGCTGCACAGTGGTGCCAAAGCGAATGGCGTTGATTGCTTTATATTGTAATTAAAACGAAAATATAACATAAATAAAAAATTAATAAATAATAAAATAATAAAAAAAAAAAAATAATAAAAAAAAATCAGAAACATTAATTTAAAAAATAAATCATAATTAATAATGATTAAACAAAGATTAATAATAATAAATTTACTAATTACTAAAGAAAATAAAAAAAAAATAATACAATATTAAATTTAAAAAAAAAAATAAAACAAATAACGATAAAAAAATATAATTAAAAAATATCATAAAAAATAAATATTATTACTTAAAATTAAAAAAAAAAGAAGCAAATAACGCATAGATAACAGCAGACAGAAAATTAAAATAAATTCCAAGCTCTAAGATAAATTTCCATTTCCTTAAATTGCCAGCCGAATTCCCCCAATTTGTTCGCTCAGCATATTTCACACAATTCTAACCCAGCTGCTGACCACTGTGCATTGGTAGCTGCCTAGTTGCAGCAACAGCTACCGCTGCATTGGCGCTTATCTCTGGCTGCTTATCTGCGTGCAGCGCCAGCGGCAGCAACGGCAGCAAAATTTTGTTAACAAAATATTTCGCAGCAGCTAGAAAAAGAAAAAACTTCGTGTTCGACTTGAACAGCAACCACAATAAATAATAATAATACTAAACAAACAAAACAGCCAAAAAAAAAAATAGGTATTAACGAGCATTTTGGAATTTAATGTGTGTTTTGCGTCGCATTCGGCTCGGCGAAACAAGTCGCGCATATGACATGTGTAATGAAGTCTTAATAGTTGCACAGATAATGCCAATGGCTGTCAGCGCATTTGCTGGGGCTTGAGTCGGCAGCAAAATGTCGCATAGCTCTGTTCTTATCTGCGTATGCATAATTAAAATAATGTTACTCATACGACGCGTTGGCTGCCGTGATAATTGCACAGAGTTTGGCAGCAACTGCAATTGCAATTGTTTATTTGTTTCTCCATTTTTTCGGGGTGTTGCAATAAGCGTCGAGCATGGCATTTGGCCACAGCCACAATTAACTTTTAAAGGTGTCTCTCGCTATTTACCATGCACTTTAATTATTTGCTTGATGTGCAGAAACATAATCAACTGGCTGTGGCGTGGCTTTAATGTGCTCCGAGCATTTTTCATTTTGGGCAATTGAAAAAGTTTTCACTGCGGCATTTTAAAAACTGTTTTTGGGCAATCGGCAATTGGGAATTGCCAATTGGCAGTCGGCAACTGGCGCCTGTCGACGACGACGACGACGGTGACGGCGACGGTGACGGCGACGTTGACGTTGACTTCGACATAATCACGCGCTTTAAAAGCTGCTGACAGTTTAACGATTTTGTGGGGATTGTTTGTTTTGTTGCTGTTGTTGTTCTTGTTGTTGTTGTTTGCTGTTTGTTGTTTTCGCAACATGCAACCGTGCGTAGCAGCAGCAGCAACAAAAAAAAAACAACAAAAGAAAGAAAAACTTTGGCCAAAAAAACAGCAAACGAAAAAACCAACAAGTGGAGATTTTCATGGGACAGCTAATTGGCTGCTGTGACATTAAATGCCGTCAACAATTTGTCCTGCATGTCGATGTCAGCACAGGGACAGTCAGACAGTGAAATTGGCGCCAATTGGAAAGAGAGAGTTGGCCCAAAGGGAGCACTTGGTGGGGAGTGAAAGGGCCGGCGTGTAGGAGTACGTTAGCTCGTTTGTCAATAATTCGCCTACTGTATAAAGAGAAACAAAAAGGAACGAAGGAAAACAAAAAACTGAACCGCGCGCGTCGAGCAACTAAATCAAAAAACAACAAACAAAAAACTCTTGTTGCACGATTTTTGAACGTGTTTAAGCCAGCCAGCCAGCCAGCCAGGCAGTCAGTCAGGCAGGCAGGAGAGGCCAATGCCAATAGCATATAGAGTCTCGAAAGAAAATTGTTAGCCTTTGCCTTAATTTGTCGACAAATTTTTCTTAAGATGCAAAATGCAGCCAGCGGCTCTTCGGGGGCACGTACACATCATCAGTTTCCATTTCAGCAGCATCTCAGATTTGTGGCACGAACGTGAACTTCATGCATTGTCGTCAAACTGAAAATTTGTAACAAGACCCAGCAGTCAAGAGCCAAGAGAAAACAAATTAAATTGTTGCCACTTGTGTCACAAAAAAAAAAAAAAAAAAAAAAGGAAAGGGAAAGAAGAAGGAATTTCCGCGAATCGCATGCAAAGCTAGAATTATGCAATTAAAAATGGCAATGCAAAGGCAAAAACGTACAGAATATGCCAAGAGGAAGACAGCAAAAAAAAAAAAAAAAAAAGTAATAAACTCGGCCTGACTTGCTTAATTAATCAAACGAGGCAGCTAAAAGACAAATGACTAATTGATCAGGTTTTCAATGCACGCGGAAAGGCTGAGATTTCTATGGGAACTGCATGAAAATTTATAAATCTTCCAAGCAGCCAATTTAGCATATTTATCTTAAATGCTTTAATAGACAGCAAATAGTAATTATCTATATTTATATAAATATATGTATATATATTGTATTTGTATATAGCAAGCCCCCGTCTTAGGTCTAGCAACTGGATTTTGCACTTACCATTGGCATTCGCTGATTTAATTCTGCAAAGATAAGAAGCGAACAGAATGGTGCAATTAATAAACATAAATTGGCGTTTAAGAATAACAGCAAAATATAGCTAAACATAAATTAGCGCACAGCAAAATGTCAAATTGTTCAATGCCAAGCCAGCGGACAACGAATGGCAAATGCCAAAACGAAAGACTTAGGACACAAACTTCGTTCTACGCAAATAAAAATTGGATTTTTTTTTTTGCGTGTGACACGCAGATAAACTACCGCAAAATATATGTATGAGCCGATAAGAATTCAACACAATTGCAACAGCAGCAACAACAGAAACAGCAACTGCAACAGCAACAACCACCATTTGTTGCAACACAAACGTTGCAGATTAGATTAGCGCTGGAAATCTGCGGATAAGCATAGAGCCGCGAAGAGGCTGAACCGGATTATCTTGGCCGATTTGTGGGCTGCTCTGTTCGGTTTGAATGTGGATGTCGTTTACTCGTTACTACTCGTTGCCTGCTGTTCCACAAATTCTGCTTTCAATTTGACTTCAAGCCGTTCTCTGCCTCTTCTAACTGTTTTCGCTCATTGCCATTAACTTTGGCCCCGCCGCACTTGCACTTGCCCCGTTTTTCTGGGTCAAGCTTCAAGCACGAACCTAATGGATATAGATTGTGCGTATCAATTAACCGTCCACTGTCCGTCCGCTTGTAAGCTCCGTCCGTTTGATTGAGTGCAGCGCGGCATGCGGCTAAATGTTGCCCCTCGCTTTGCCTTGATCGATTATAATGTTAACTGGAGCTGAGCCGAGTCTAGTTCGATTTTTTGATTCGCATTTGCCTGCTTTTGATTTCTTCGTATATATTCGTGTGTGTGTGTGAGTTTTTTCTCTTTTTGCAATTCAATTAAAGTGAACAAGCTCACCGTTCGAGCCAGTCATCGTCGTCTTGGGGGCCGTGCCTTTGCCTCTGCGCTAATTTTCCAACTGTTTTTCTTTTATTTTTCTGCAATTTTTTTGTGTGTTTGTGTGTTTTTCCTTTATGTTCAATTTACTGTGCTTGTTTTTCGTCAGCAGTTCATTTTTTTCTCTTTTTTTCTTGTTCAGCTTTTTTCGCTATCGAGCTCCAAGCATGCTAATTGAACACGCCTTTTTATGTAGCTCGGCGCTGTTGCAGCTGCCTTAAACGTTTTCAACTTGAAATTTTTTGGGTTTTCTATCAAAATAGCAAATGCGAGCACGCAGCGACAATTTTGTGCAATTTAACATTGTTGTTGCCAAAACTGAAAGTGGGCTAGCTGCAGCCAGGCCTTGGCTCTGAATGTGTGGGCGGAAAAACAGTTGAACTAAGTTTATTGTTAAGCAATTAAAGCTAATGTGAAACGGAAATGTGTAGCTGAAGAGACTGCATATGGGATGATTAGTGTTAGAGAAAGACCAGCTTGAAGATGTGCTTAGTAGCATTGCGCTATGAAGGAAGTATTAAATGAAAGAGAGATAGAGAAAGAGAGGGAGAGTATTAGTAGTAGCAGTTCGCACAAAAAACGAAGTGAGACAACGAGAGAATCGCTTCGACCGAGTGTGGCTCATCGGCTAAGTGTGAAGCTCCAGCAGAGAGGCTGTACGAGCGGCATGAGATGCAGTCGGCATGTGAGAGGAGAAACGAAGCCGAAAGATTCCAATTAGCTGTGTTCTGAGAGTAATTAAAGAAAGGAGAGTGATATAGAGTCGGAGATGTCTACTACTACTGAATCACCTCACATATGAATATGCCTTATTATATTATTATACTCAAATAATTAAATGAGTCTTTGAGTAGAGGAAATTAGAAGTTTAAAGTCTCTAGTGGAAAATATATATTTATATACATAATAGAGTATATTGAAATGAAGGAAATGAACATTGTATTTGTCACTGCTCTTATTAGCCAGTATAATATATTATATATTATGATACGTTGAATATGCCAAGTTTGGATATACCATAAGTGCATATAACACAAATGTATATAAAAAGCAGAAGGAGACCCCAAGAAAAGCACTAAATTTCTATTCAGTAACAACAGCCCACTCCTAGCACTTAAGCAAGACCAACTAGAATCTACCTAACAATCTAAAATTAGTCAAATACTCGTAGTTAAACTGAAACCTCAAGAAACTAGGTCACTTCAGAGCACTCATCTACCGAGAACAACATGATTTACTTAGTTAAAATCAACTTGCTTTAGCGTCCACATGTCTTGCCGTGTAAAAAGAATTGTAGATCTGTGTTGTTCTAGTGGCCATCAAGTGGCGCAACATCATTTATTTAACGCTCGTCACTTGGCTGAGCTGTAAGTAATTCGAGCTGCACAGTCAACATTTCAAATCAATGGGACGACTTTGAGTCTTTCCGACAAGTGGCTCGGCGAAAAGACATTTTAAAGTTAACCGCATTGCCAGCCATTACAGTGTCTAGACACTGAGCAAACATTGTCAGCCCGAATGGCAGGTGCCATTAAAACTCAACTTCTAAGGTGTCCACTAACAAATCATGAGTCGAACGAAAAAAAAAAAACCAAAAAAAAAAAACAGAAACACAAACTACCAGCTGCAGCAACTGCGACAACTGCGCTGCAACATGTGCCGAGCAAATTTATAGCGCCATTAGCCGATCGAGAACTGCATCAATATGCAAATAAGTGTAACTGATATTACATGTAATTGCCGCTAATTTGGCAGCCAACACGTCCGAGCACGACGCCCGAACCCGAACCCAAACCCCACTAACATGAAACGGTTGCAAAAACAACAACTAAGACACAACTCTGCCTAACTGACTGACTAAAGCTGACGGCAAGGTGAGCAGCGTGACAATCCGATTGCTGCAGCAATCGGCGGGGAGGGGGCAGGCCAGCCACCACATGTGTCTGTCTCGAGTCCAGCTTAAATAATGACAAATCTAAGCTACACCAGCAGCGTGTGAATGCGTAGCCAAACATGCATCGTGTAACAGCTATGAGAACCCACTCCACATACCCAAACCCCAACTCAGAGTCCAAACTGCATATGCAGCTGATTTGAACTGTCTGTGATATATTAGTTGTTGACTGTGCTTCGATGCTGTTGCGATTGTTTGACTGTGCTGATATACCCCACACAGTGAGCGTAGCTTTAGGCATATGGCATAAGGTTTCTTCTTGCCATAACTATATTTTAGCAGCTGTTTAGTATATTTAGTATATTTATATCCAGGCTATGCAGCTGTACAAATATCTAATAACATGTGTCATTTGATTATGAATCATTGAAAATTTGTATGAAAATTCTATAAGCATATTTATCAGCAATTTTTGAGCTACTATAAACAGTCAATATACATGTACTATATATACATACATATAATCATATATATTCACATGTATATTCTCCACAGTCTGCTCTTTTCTTTGATACTCAACTCAAGCAAACTCACAGCTGAATTGGCCTGCTGTTATTTACTGCTATATCTCTACAGGGTATTCCCGCAGTCATCTACTGCTCATGGCAATTGTTTTTCACTTGTCTTGGCATTGTGTTTGTTGCTTTGTTGCTTTGTTCATTTGTTTGTTTTGCTTTGGCAAATTATTTGCGAAATTAATTTTATGCAAACATGCCGCCAAAATACAACAACATGACAATTTAATTGGACGCGACATGTGGCTAGCGTTCGATTGAAAGGCAACAACGGCGACGTCGACGTCGACAGCGGCGCCTGCGCAAACGAAAAGTTTGGTTAATTTTGGAGCTCGCGTGTTGCCCACGCCCGCGCACACTCGCCCCTGCGCTGCCCGCACAGCCCCTGCACTTGACACAACTTATTTGCCTATGGAATCGGCAAATGAATGTCCATTTAAATGTATCTTGTCGCGATTATATATGTGAGTGTGTGTGCGTGTGTGTGAGTGACCCACTCTATGGCTACAAAAGTATGGCCTGTGGCAAGTACGCTGCCTCGCATAATTGTTGTTGTGAGTGTTTATTTTAAAGAGCAATTAAGTAATAAAGCAATTTCATGTTCTTTTGTTTTGTGCCACGATTATTTGTGCCGCTATTCTGGCCGCTAGGGGGCGCTTCAAAGGCTGCTTTCGGTGGGCGTTTAATTGAATTGCCGTTTGCTGTTGTGTGGGCAAATACATTGTAAATTTAGCAATGTATATGTATGTATGTATATATATGAGATATACATACATTACATATTCGCACTGTCTGTACATATATTCAATTTGTCTTGGCGCTGTGTAAATGTCGCTGCATGACGGATCGCTGGGGTCGTCTTGAGGTCTGAGTTGAACGTCCGTGGCTATGGGAGAGCAGAGACTGGGCACTCAGGCACTGAGGCACTCATATCGAACACGTTTTCTATATGGGCATAGAGTATGTGTGGCAAGATATATGCTTATGATGACTAATTGTCGTATTTTTCTAGCTAAATGCCAAAATGTGTCTATTTATTAGCATTTTTATTTATTGCCCGCTGTTTGTCTTAGCCAATTAATTTGAATTGTAAATTTATGCGCTTGCTAGCTGGCTTTTATTGCCCCAAAATGGTGCTAACACAGTTATCACAGTCGAACAATATAATAAGCCATACATACCTTCTACATCTTAGAAATATGACCATTACAATAGCACCTATAAGACCCGATATGATAGAGACTACAATTAGGGTGAATACCCATCCAAGCTCGCCAGTGGTATCTGCAAGAGAGCGATAAAAAAAATTCAATTAAAACACAAATGAAATGAGTACGCAAACCAGATGATCCGGCCGGGAAAGCAGGTGTAATGCTTTTATGATTATGCAATTTTTATAGCGCGATGGCGATAAAAATGATAAATTCATACGAAAAAGATGAAAAAAAAAGCAAGTTATGAATATGTATTAAAGATACTAGATAGATAGATATGTATCAGAAAGGTGTTTCGTTGACTAGCTGTAAAAGCTGCAAAAAGATAAGTAGAAGAACAAGATGCAAGTGGAACGTATAATGAAAATTCGTGAGTGAAGTCAATTAGGCGCCATCAAAGAAGTTGGTGATGAGCAGGCGATTAAAACTGTTCTCAAAACTGAAATTTAACAAGAAAATTGCACGCCTCTCTCTCACTCACTCACTCTCTCTCTCTCTCTCTCTTGCTCTTGCGCTCTCTCACGCTTTTCAGCACAGCCTGCGCTCTCTCACTCTCACTCATTTAACGATGCAAAATTAATTACAAACTTTATTATCTTAACAACTTGAGGCTGCCAGCCGACATTGGCCCCGCTGGTGATTTAGAATATTTATGGCCTCAGCTAAATGAGGCAAGCAAGCAGGCAGGAGGCTACGGCCGTGTGGACAATAAGGGTCAGAAGTCAGTCGATGTAGCGAAACACATGCGACTGCGTTTTGACCCTTTTACGGCCTAGACTTTATCTAGCTGCGGGCATCTGCAAAGGGCTGAGCGGGCTGGAGGGGCGAAGGGGTGAGGGTGCAAAGCTGCTGAGGTGGGGGTAACTATGCCAAAAAGGTTAATTTCAGCAAACAGAAATCAACACGCATATAAATATTACAGACAGCCCTCGCATTTGCCACGTTCCACGTCCTTTTAATAAAAGCCGGCGAAAATTGTAATAGCTCCGTGCATCAAGCTGCAGATAAGCTCAAGTAGCCGAAAATCATTCTTAGAGTAGAGTTGAACTCACTAACTGAATACTGTATACTCTATAGAGTCAATGAGAGATGAAGAGAAGAGCAATATGAAGGTGAGTCGATGATAAATCGAGTGAGATGAATAGATTTGATCAAGATCAAGTATTGAAGGATATTTCCTATATATAAAATAGAGCAATACAAGGTGAGTCGATGATAAATCGAGTGAACTGATTTTTGGAATATGTTTAGCAATTGAATAACTTTGATGAAGATCAATTAATGAAGGATATTTTCTATATATATGTTGATGACCAATATAAGATAAGTCTATGATAAATTGACTGGCTGTCAGCTGAGATGTTCATTGACTGCTGAAGCTATTCAATCAGATATATAATATTTATAACATACAAAATATATACAAATATTTCATACACTTAACACCGTTCTCTTTCATCTCATCCCAGAGCAAACTTCATAGCAATTCGGTATCGTCGGGCATATAAAACTTAGTAGAGCATTTAATTAGCTCATATATTAAATTTTGAATGAGTTTTCTTTTTGGAATGGACCCTTGCACAGCATAACTTTAGCCTATTTCATTTGAAATATGTGGGTTGTTGTTTTTTTTGTTCACTTTTCTTTGGCTTTTGTGCGTCAAGTGATCAGGTGGGTCACCTTGGCAGCTATCTCGTTATCCCAGTTGTCAGCTGTTTAAATATTTATGCTGACGGTGCTATAATGAAAGCAAATGCCATTATGTTTTGGCCCAGCTTCCGCTATGGCCGGCCAACCCCCGCCGCCTCCTGCTGACCCTTGGTCAGGGCGACCTTCCATTGTCTTGCGCGTAATAATTCAATTGGCCGAAAACTCAGCCACGAGGCGAACGCGGTGCGCAGCGTAATTAATAACAAACAAAGAGCACGAATGGAAAGTAATTTAGTGCACACTCGTTCAGTCTCTCTCTCTCTCTGTGAAATGAGGATGTGGGTGTGGCTGGGCAAGCGGAAATGGTCTAATAAGCGGCGCCTTATGAAAGTGTTGGAAAAAAGCGCGTTAATTGCGGCAAGTTGTTAAGCCCGTAGACCAATAAAAAAGCAGCTAAAGAAACTAGTTAGCAGCGCCGCTATAGGGCTCATAATATTCGACAATCAGGAACAACTTTGGCCATATGTAAAGTCGCAACGGCGGCTGCTCCTCTGTAGTTAACTTCCGATTTTATACTGACAAGATATCAAAGTGAATAGACCTGGCTAGAGGAGAGTTGGGAATTAAACTCGAGCCCGCTGAGTTTGTTGTCGGATGCTGTCAGACAAGCATGTTGGCAACAGGATCGTAAAGTTCCACTTGGGACTGACGCAAGTTATGGCCCAGTTGCCATTGCCGTTGCCATTGGCATTTCTGTTGCTGTTGCTTGGCTTTAACAGACTCCCGTTTTGGGGAGGGGGGCCCTTTACTTGACTTTACTTAACTTATTTATTCGCCATTCGCCAAAGGGGCTCCAAACAGCCGAGCAACATGCAACAGGTGTGCGTTGCTTCACGCAATGGCAACAGTCAGCTGGAGAGAGACAGGGAAAGGGAGAGTAAGAGAGAGAGAGGGGGAATAGCTGTTGAGCTGTTCAGTCGACCTGGTCAGCTATTTATTAGCAGTGGCCGAGTCGCTGATCTATTCGGGTTCAGTATGGTGCAGTCTAATTGGCAACTCATTAAAATAATTTCGTGCTGGCCAGCTTGGACAATGGACAACTAGCTGTATGTATGGCTCGTCACATTTTGGCATAGAACATGGCAAAAAAAAAAAAACAACAACTTTTGGTTTTCTTGGAACTTTTAGGACTTGACACGAAAACAACAATAACAACAACAGCAGCAGCAGCAGCCGAGAGGCAAAACTGTTGCAGCTGTGCAAATGCACAAGTTTCCATGGAAATGTAAACTGGGCTTGCATGCCACAGCAGCAGCAGCAGCAGCATCAACAGCAGCAGGAGGCATTCGAGATACATCCATCAGATACAAATGGCTGCCCGCAGATGCAACCGCCGCCAACTTGCCTCGCTCGTCTGTCAGCAATTGTAATAATCGATCTGCGCCAACATGATTGATGATGCGACACAGCCAGCAGCCAATCGCCCGCCTGCCTACCCCCCTCGCCGTCAACCGCCCCCTTCAATGCAGATTTATGGCCAGCCAGCTCGGAGTTTGAGCTGAGCTGTGCTGAGCTGAGCTGAGCTCCTCCTCCTCCTCCTGCAACATTTGCAAGCTCATGTCTAACTCGACATGTTCAAAAGTCGACACACAATTTCGATTTGGCGACGTTTATGGCGCATTATCGCATAATGCATTTTCTATATGCTAATTTCAACATCAACTGGATTGCCCCGCCTGTGCGCTCCCTCACCCCTCGAACTGCTGTAAATCAAACGAAAATTGGCCCACACGCTGCAACTGCTGGCAATGCTGCTAGTGCACGGCTGCAACTGTTGTTGCCTTCTGGCGTTGCAGCTGAGCATTTGTCCACAGACTGTCGCACAGTTGCATTTTTAATTGCCCCACAAAAATGCCGAAAATGAACTGCAACAGCAAGTTGCCAGCGACATGCTGCTGTTCAGTTAGCTTTTATCTAACAACCGTATCGAAGGCGCAAATGGGCGTGGCCAAACCATTCGACCATTCGGCCATTTGTGCAGAGCGAGCGAAAAGCAAAAACGGTCCAAATACGACTCAATTAACAGTCCACACAATTAAATTAAATCGCTCGCATTTGTTTTCAAATTGAGCAATTAAAAAATGATTTAGCGCATTTTTCGCAGCCATTTTTGGGGCGGCCGAGTGGGGAGCAGATTTTTAGTTTTTGTGGGCGTTCGATTTGGCGACACAGCTCGAAATTTGATTAAATGCAATTAATTAAAAGGAGTATTTGGCTCGAAAGTTATTTGATGTCAACGAGCTGACTTGAATTATTTATTGATATGAAAGGCATTTTAATTAAAACTGTGAGTGATACTCGACAGAGCGCAAAAGCGAATGATTAAATAAGCTAATTATATTGTAAATTAAATTTGATTAAGGCAAAAAAGGCATTACAGCTGTTGCCATGTGAAGAGCGCTTCAAAGTTGAATAAAGTATGGCAAATAAATTTGAGTTCACAAATGAAATGATTAAGGGAATAAAACGGACTTTCATTTAAAAACAATGAAATTGAACTACAACTAAAATGTAACAGAAACTGTCAGCTGCAGCTGCTGCTGCCCTTCTTTGCGCTTCTCAGAAGTCAAATGTAAAAAGAAAGCCACAAATTATTTGCAGCTCATTTTCAGTTAAAAGGAAGTAGCATATGTAGGCCAAAAAGTCAAAGGCAGGCAACATAAACTTGCGAATGCCCCCCACACACACACGCATACACACATACACATATGAGACATGCGCATATTCCATTACACACGCGTAAGCAACATATGGAGCGTATGGGATGGTCAAAAGCTGTTCGGGCAGCGCTCGCTCGCTCAGCTCAACGGAAGGCATCAACAGAATTAAATGACAAATTAAATAATGTCAGCAACGCGGCGGTTGGCAAAAGGTTAAAGCCATAAAAATAAGGGCCAACTTGGCGGCTCAGAGTCCCCCAGAAAGTCAATATAATAAATTACACGGCGACAGTGGCGATAATCAAATGAACAACAACAAGAACGACAACAAAAGAGCGAGAGAGAGAGAGAGAGAGAGAGAGAGAGTGAGAGAGAGGAACAACAGTGCAACATGCGTTGGTCAATTCTTTAGCGGAATTTTTTGGCATTCATATACACGCTCAGAGAGTGAAAGCGGGTATATGGGGTAGAAAAGAATATTGGAATTGAAACATAAGAGATATTTGAAATATATGTGAGCTTCTTTTCATAGATTTTAAACTTGCATAGAGTGAATTTTTGTAGGCCAATCCATCGTAATGCTAATCCCAGTTTAAGCGCCATATTAAACGAGTATAACTTCATCAATTACACCCGCTTGACAAGCTTCTTCACCGTTTTTTGTCGTTGCTAAAAGTCGTAAAAAAAACGCACAAAAAAT